AAGAATCCCCAAGGCTTTTTCCAGCTCTAACAATTTACGTATTTTGATTCTAAGGAAGCAAATAAAGGACTCACAATGTTGCTGATATGAGATCCAAATCGGTTCACCTTCTAATCAGCTTTAAAAATGAAATATTTAGGCATAACTGGGGAGAATGGGAAGAATGGCCCTGAAGAATTCCAAGAAGAATGGATCATGAGAAAATCATTTTCCTCGACTCTAACCTTCAACTGAGGGCAATGAAAAGAGACATAAATGAAAAAATGACAGCTCCACAGTTTCAAAGGCCCACTCGTTCTGGGTTTTCTTCTCTCTTTATTACTTATTAATTTCTCCTCTACTGGATTTTAGTATTCCTTTGGATTCCCCTCCTTCCTCTCATAAGCCCCAGACCAGACCCAGAATTTAATCATAAGCTTTACCTTTGGTTTTTACATTTTTTTAAAAAATTTTCAAAACAAGGGAAAGGATCATAAGACCAACACTTTTCCTGGACCAAGTTATAAGCTTGAGTGGCTAAGAAAATAGTGGTGGTATCCAAAGAAATAGGGAAGTTTGGAAGCTGGGACAGGTTTAGGTGTTAAGATGGTGGGTTCAGTTTGGGACATGGAGTTTGAGGTGCTTTCCAAATATTCAGGTATACATTTCTAGCAGGCAACTGGAAAGGGCATAAACATTTAGCCTGGACATGGAGTAATCTACATACAAGATAGAGATGAGAATCAAACTTTAAAACCTTTTTTTGATTCTTACCTCTCTCCATCACCCACATACAATCAATTCCCAAGGACAATCAGTTCTGTTCCCTTCTCTCTGTTTATACTACCAAAACCCTAGTTCAAAATTAGTCACCTCTCATCTAGACCATTGGAACAGTCTTCTAGTTGGTCTCCCTACTCAGAGACTCTTCCCTGTCTAATTCATCCTTCACATAGCTGCCAAAATCAGTATTCCTGTGCACAGATCAGATCATGGTACTCTCTCACTCAGAAGCCCTTTACAGGGGCAGCTAGGTGGCACAGTGGATAGAGTGCTGGTCCTGCAGTCAGGAGGACCTGAGTTCAAATGTGGCCTCAGGCACTTACTGGCTGTGTGACCCTGGGCAAGCCACTTAACCCCAATTGCCTAAAAGCAAAATAAAAAAACAGAAGCCCTTTACAGCTCCTCATTGCCCACAGGATAAAATACTCAAGCCCCTCCACTATCTAGCTCCAAATTGCCTTTATAGAATTATTTTGCATTCCTTTCCTTGACAATCTTGCACATTCCAACCTAACTCTAACCCCCTGGTCTCATCTCACTCCCTCCTCATCTCTGGCTATTGAAACCCTTCTCTTCCTTCAAAACCCAGCTCAGGTGTCATCTCTTCCATGAAGCCTTCTATGATACCCCACCCCTACCCCACACGCACACATACTCTTACTGAAAGTGATCTTTTTCCTCTAAATTTACATTTTAAATTCACATTTTAACTTATACTTTCATACCTGTGATCATGCTATATCCTTCCCCCCCCCCAATTAGCCTGGAAGTTCCTTAAGAGCAGTGACCATCTCTTTTTCATCTCCCTATTTTTTTGAAAGGAAGATTTCATTAGTGCAGGGAGTTTCCCATTGAGGAAACTCCTTTAACGAGTACAGATAAGAAATTCCTTTAAAGCTTATAGTCTTAGAAAGTTGGCTGGGAACTATTAGAGATGAAGTGACTTTCCCTGGGCACATGGTCAATATGTGTTCAGAACCAGGATTTGGACTCTCAGGTCTTTCAATTCTGATGCAACAAGGTACATCCTAACAATGCTGTCTTGACTTGCACGTGAGTTGGATTTAAGTGAGGCGGAATTATGCAAAGTCATCAACTTCACTCCCTCTTCCAGAGTCATAGAAGTCCAGTGGCAAGACAAAAGTCAGGATGACTGGTGATAGACCAGGATGCAGTACATGACTTTGGCTTCTCCGATGTCTTACCAAGCTCCAAGCACTTCCCAGAGCTCAGTTCAGCCACTTGCATGGCTGTTGGAATAAAATTGTTGTCATCCACCCATTCTGCCAGAAGTCTTCATATACTTGGGGTAGATATAACCCTAATTCACCAAGGCTTAAGGCTTGTTGGTTAGTCTCAACTTGGTTTAGCCTGTCTGCAGAGACAGTTTACTGGGGTGTGGCCACAGTTTCTTGGAGCCACTGGTGAGAGTTGGGTGACTAGTAGACACCAAAGGTGGGTAAGCAGCTCACCAGAGTCCTCTCTGAGACAGACAGATAGATAGAAGAGAGAGAGAGAGAGAGAGAGATGATAGAGATATACATATATACACACACCTATATCTACACATATATATGTGTATATGTATATAAACACATATGTACATATACATATATACATATGTGTGTATAATGACTGTCAAAAACAGCTGGCTTAGGTTTTATCCTTGTATCTCTTCTTAGTCAAATAGAGAATTCTGAATTCTTCATTTTAGAGCCGGTGAGGTATGCATAATTATAGATTCAGAGATGCAAACAACCTTTGAGGTTACCTAGGATAATTGCCCTAATGTACAAATGAGAAAAATGAGGACCAGTTTTTTGAAGTCACTATTACTCACTGCTTTAGTTAGGGTTCTGAGGTCTTTCTTTAAAAGTTTTTTTTTAAATTGTTGTCATTTCCTTTGGTTAATTGTGACTTACCCAAGATAATTAGTGGTGAAGAAAGCATTTCAATGCAAGCCCCACTTCCACCATCCCACACTGCCTTATTTTGCCAGCAGTACCACTAGCTTTAGGGATGAATGCTTTGTTATTGAGGAAATAGTCTGCACTTAGGAAATTCAAATCAGAAATCTGCCCCCTAAGTAGTCACAACCCAAGCATTAGCTGTTAAATAGCTCCACTGGGTCAGGAAGATAACTTTAGGAATTACTGAAGGACAGTATTTCTGTCTTTCCATCTGCCCTTTGCATTTCCTTCACATTTCCCAGGATATGCCATTACCCACATCTCCAGGGGCTGTGTGAGCCAGGCGGACTATGATGGTGTCTATCTGTCCCACAGGAGTGCTCTTGGGGAATGACTTTGTAAACCTTTATAGCACAGTATGAATGTGAATTTCAGCTGCAGCCAGTTGCAAGCATTACCTCAAATATCTGAGTAGTTCTCATTGAAGAAACCAGGAAGGGCATGAGATGGTAATTATTTCTCTCTGCAGCCTGGGGGCAAAAGCTGTAGGTTGGGGCTCCTCCTCTGCTGCCACAATTTTGCTTAATGAAACAAGGATAATGTTTCCTCTTGGCAGCCAGGGCTCATTTAGGAACAGACGGTGGAGTGGTTGTGTTTTCATTGGATGGCATTTCCATGCTGTGTGTTGGATCATTAATTGTACCAATATCTCAGTTCTTGGTTGTAGCACAGAGAAAGAAATCTCAGCTAGCCATTCTAACTATCTCTTACACACACGCTCACTCCTCACTCACTCCCTCACTCCCAGGCTCTTCTCTCTGCAAGCAGAACCAGACACCTGGGCTGAGAGGTGGTATTATAGAAAGGTCATGCATTATACACAAGAAGCAAAAATCCCTTCAAACCATGGAGCTAGAGTCATTTTCTGTGTGGATTTTGCTGCCCAGCCTTCACATAGTTGTGGGCTGGCTGTCAGCTGACAAAAAGATCTGAATCAGGCAAGCTGCCAAATACAAGGTTTTGCTCTTGGCTTAAGGTTTGACAAGAAGCACTAAAAGACTACTTTTGCTCTCTGTCCCACGGGTATGTCTTCCTTTTATGCCCTAGGATATCAGTACAGTGGAAAGAACAATGGTTCTAGTCAGAGGCCTTGGTTCAGATGTCATCACTGACACTGTCTCTGTGACTTTAGGCCTCATTTTCTTCATCAAAAAATGGTGGTCTTAGGGCAGCTAGGTGGTGCAGTGGATAGAGCAGTGGTCCTGGAGTCAGAAGGACCTGAGTTCAAATATGACTGACCTCAGACATTTGACACTAGCTAGCTGTGTGACCCTAGGTATGTCACTTAACCCCAGTTGTCTCACAAAAAAACAAACAAAAAGATAGTGTTGCAATAGATGGCCCCTGATGCCTTTCCAGTTCTAAATCTCCTATATTTTAGGGGATAGCATTACTTCAACAGGTTTTACATGCATGGTGGCAGCGCTAGACCTGAGTTCCTATCCTCCTGTCTCCAATGTTTAATAGTTGTGTGGTCATGAGCTAGTCATTCAAGCTTTCTGAACTTCAGTTTCTTCATCTGTAAAACGGAGATAAAAAATCTTTGCACTGCCAACAGATCTCACAGGCTTGTTGTGGAGAAAGGATTTTGCAAACCTTAAAGCACCATACAAATATGAATTGCCATTAGTAAGTTCCCCATTTAAAAGATCATTCAACCAATAAATGCTTATTAAGTGTCTCTAATGTTCTAGACTCTCAAGATGTAAAGACCAAAAAAAATCCCTTCCCCCAAGAAGCCTACGCACTACAGAATGCTTACAAAAAAGCTTGGACTGGCTTGACACCTCCATTGCTCAGAGTATAGTAGGGTTCCCATGCTGTTCCAGAACACAGTGTTTTGTATCTTATTGCAAAAATATTTTTAAAGGGCCAAATTACAGGTTTAGGGTTTTATTTCTTAGTCAGTTTTTTAAAAAAAATTTGTTTAGGGGTTGGAGATGAAGGAAAGAGAAAACGCATTATATGAGAGAATTCATTATTGAGCTATTTCATTTAAAGAATTGTTCATGCATTTAACTTTAAACAACAACAAAACCAATTAAATACACCCTTGCAATTATTTACACTTTAATAGATTTCCAAATACTAGTAACATTCAATCAAAAATGGAGAAAGAAAACACATCCCCCCAAATTAGAAATGAAAAAAGCAGTCATAACAAATAGAAAAGAACATAAGCTATTTCATAGAGTGGGGAAGAGGAAGAAAAGGCATGAAAAATGCGTTGATGGAATTTACAATGTAGAGACCTCAAGCAAGACTTACATTTATGGGCTTTCAGGCCTTCAAATGAAACTGGTCCAATTTCATAATATTCGTATTCCCAAGTATAATCAGAACTGGATGAAGATGGCTGGGATGTTCTGTTGGAAATTAACCTCTGTGCAGACATCTCTAATCTGTGCAAATGAATAAATGTAAATACAGAATCTATTAAGTCAGTAAGTCAGTAATCTATTACTGTCAGTAAGACAGTAGCAAAGCTATTCCAATAAACTCTTTCTATTTCTTACTTAATTCAAAAAGGCCATCCTTGAATCACTGGTGAGGTAATTCAATGATACCGTATTAGGTACTCTACACAGGGAGTTACACAATGCCCCTGCTCTCTGAGAGCCAAAAAAATCTTCAACAAACCAACATGTCAAGGGCATGTAGAAAAAAGAACAATAATTAAAACCAATAATAGTAACTGCATGTATAAATGAATAGTAAAGTATAAATAATATAAATAAGGCAAGCATATTTGTATTTTACACAAGACAAACAAAATGTGTTTTGTAGGGAGGATGGGATAGGTAGCTATTGGGAATTAAAAGTCAAGGATTTCAAAGGAAATAATGGGGGAAAAAGGTAAAAATTAAAGTGGCCTAGTATAACCAAATGTCAAACTTGATCATAAAGTAATGATTATTAAAATGATTAGATACTTAACTAAATATAAAAAGATGAGCAGAACAATCCAATCCAACAAATATTTATCATCTACTATGTACAAAATCTTGGGATACACATATTAAACCAAGAATAGTCCCATTGCCAAGGAGCCAACTTCTACTTATAAGACCAGAAAAGCAAGACCAAGAAATAAGTGAAAACACACACACACACACACACACACACACACACACACACACACACACACACACAGACATTAGATAAATCCATTAACACAAACTGTTGGGGGAAGATTCCCCTATTCAGCAAGATTTGGTGAAAGTGGAAAGGAGTTTAAAGGAAAATATGTTTATACCAGAATATTATGCCATTAAATTACAATGAGCACCAAACAAATAAGTGATTTAAATAAAAAGGTCATATCTAAAAAAAATTAGAGGAGCATAAAAGGTGGTATCTTGCAAGTAAAATTCAAAATTAAGCAGTTGATGAATAATTAACTCAAAGTAGCTGATGTTTAGCTTAATCAAAGCATAGTTTTGGGGGCAGCTAGGTGATGCATGGGCCCAGGAGTCAGGAGGACTTGAGTTCAAATCGGGCCTCAGACACTTGACATTTACTAGCTGTGTGAGCCAGGGCAAGTCACTTAACCCCACTGCCTAGTCAAAAAAAAAAAAAGACTCCCCTCAAAGCATAGCTTTATTACTTCTGGCCAAAAGGGAGAGAACACATAAGCACAGAGAATATACTGATGAAATTTTTCTTTTAGCACAAGACTAAATATTTTTATACTTTTGAAAGGAAAAAAAGAATCAAACAAAGGTGTTAGACCAGATTAATAAGGGTACAGAGTCAGGAGATTAATGAGTGAAGAAAAGTAGACAGAATAATGGAGATAAGCAAAACAGAATCACTGAGTTTCAATAGCTTCAATAGGAGAGGATAAATTGTTGAGATGTTCTGACAAAAAGGCTAATTCTACCAAGTAGTACAAGTGCTTCTATTATTCTGTTAAAAAAAAAAAAACAACAACCAGCTTTTCCATGGTAAAGTCTATTTACATAGCCCTAGGATACCAATATCTAATTTACCCATAGCCCTTTGCAGCAATGCCAAACTTCTAGATCAAAGACAGAGAAAAAGTTACCATATATACCAAAAATACTAATAGAAGCCATTTTTGTGGTAGCAAAAAATTGGAAATCAAAGTCAGTTTTTATCAGTTGGGGAATGGCTGAATAAATTGTGGTATGTGAATGTACTAAGATATTATTGTGCTATAGGAAATGACAAATATGGGGAGGTCAAAGAGACACAGGAAGGTTTGTATGACCTGACATAAACCAAAAAATGTAAAATCTGGAGGATGACATACATAATAGCTACAATAATATAATGTAGTGAAAACACTAAAAGACTGCTCAAAGATAGTTAAAGGCAATGATTGAGGTGGATTTCAGAGGACAAGTGATAAAATGTACCACCCTCATCATGGCAGAGAAGTGGGGGACTAAAGGTGTTAAAGATGCCTCCACTGTAAGACATGGTCATTACAGGTAGCCCACAGATAGAGCACAGGGCCTAGAATGCAGAAGAGCTCAAATATGGCTTCAGGAACTTACAAGTTCTATGGCCTTGGGTAAGTCACTTACCTTCTATTTGCCTCAGTTTCCTCATCTGTAAAATGGGAGGATGGTAATAATAGCAACCCTACCTCGCAGGGTTGTTGTCAAGATCAAATGAGGTAATACTTGTAAATCATTCAGCACAGTTCCAGGAACATAGTAGGCACTATATAAATGTTAATTATTATTGTATCAGTCGATTTTGCATCACTGTTTTCTTTGTGCCAAGGGACAGGGGCAGATATGAGAAAATGTGTAGGTTTAAAAACAAAAGACATCAATAAAAATTAAGAAAGAAAGTGAATAGACACTTTAAATTCCATGGCAAAAGGAACTAGAGCAGTAAAGTATTGGACTGGGAATAAGATCTGAGTTCAAATCTTGCCCCAGGATTATTAACTCATTAACTGCATGACCCGGGAAAGTCACTTGACCTGTCTCAGGCTCAGTATCCTCATCTCTAAAATGGGAATAATAATAGCATCTATCTCACAGGGTTGTTGTGAGGACCACATGAAATAACATATGTACAACACTTTGCAAATATTAAAATGCCAAATAAATGCCAGCTACTATTAGAGATAGCAAGGTGTGATAGATATCCAGGTAATGGATAGAGCACTTTGACCTGGAGACAGGAAGACAACCGTTCAAATTTAGCCTCGAACACTTATTCATTACATGACCCGGGGCCAGTCTAACTTCTGTCTCAGTTTTCTGATCTATAAAATGGGGGTAATAATAGTACCTTCCTCCTAGGGTTGCTGTGAGGGTAAAAGGAGATATCATCTGTAAAATACTTTGTGAACCTTAAAGTACTGTATAAATTCTAGCTATTTATATTGAAAGAACCCATCTCTTGAAAGTGCTTACCTTGCTCTGCATCAGAGACACTACTCAACTTTTTCATATTTTGAAAGTTTTCCAGATACTTCCTCTGGTAACTGTTATTCCTTTTATACCACAATATTATAACTTTGTTTTTAAGAGCAGGAGTCAAGAATCTATAGTCAAAGATGCTAACCTGGACCAGTTTCCATTGGCACAGAGAATAATCATTGCTGCCACGGCCCCTTGCCTGTCACTTACAAAATGCACCATATCCTGCCACCTCATCCTGTGTGAGAGTCACTGCACACTGCCCACTCTGTCTACCCAGAATGAGAGAAGAACATGTGTCTCCAACTTGCCTTCGAACTTCTCTGTAGATTTTGAGCCCTGGTTGAAAAAGCTAAGGCAATGTAGAAAATGCCAGAGTGTCAAGCTGGGCATTTAGGAGGAAAACAACCTCCTCTGGGAGGATAAGCAAATTTACTGATTCATAAGGTGTGGGAAATAGGAGCCTCAAGAATTGGTAAGAAAAGCTTCTCTTTGCTTTGTGTTATCTATCTTCGGTCATTCTTTCTATATTCAAAACCTCCAACCATGCAGTTGTTATGACAGCACTACCACAGGTGTTTTTATCTTTCAAAAGAGAAGCTCTCCCCCACTTAGAGAAGTGAAAAATGGAGAGCCCAAGTATTATGGGGATTTATCCTCTCTTCTGAACTCTTTTCTCCCAGAAGGAAAAGAACTTTAGAGAGAAAAAAGTAAGTACTCAGTTCCAGTAATAGAACTGAAACAAAGATGGAGAATTTATTTCCACTTAGGACTGGAGCACAACTTAAGGGAATCCAGAAAAGCTGTTAGGACTTTGAAAAATTCACCATGAATGAGCTGTCTCATGAGCTAACCTTGGAAAAGTTTAAGCCGAGGCTGGGAAGGTTAGAGTGGGCATTGCTCTATTATTCGACCTGAGGCATGGAGAGTGGAATGGGTAGTTACAGGATCAATGTCAGAGATTTAGAACTGTCAGGGACCTCAGAGACACTCTATTCCAGTAGTGGAGAACCTGTGTCCTTGAGGCCTTTTTAGGTCCTCAAGTGTGGCCCTCTGACTGAATCCAAACTTGATAGAACAAATCCCCTTAATAAGTAAAACTTAGACTCAGTCAAAAGGCCACATCCAAGGAACTAGAAGGCCACATGTGGCCTGGAGGCCACATGTTCCCTACCCCTGCCTTATCCAGTCTTCTCATTTTGTAGGCAAAGATACTAAGGCTCAAGGAGGCTGAGTGACTTTTCCAAAGTCACTGTATCGTCATCAGAACGAGAAACCACATGATATGAGAGAAAATCAGAAAAAGCATTTGAACATGGGTCTTCTGACTCCAGGGACAGTGGTACAACGGATAGAGTGCTGGGCTTGGAATTAACAAGACTCATCTTCCTGATTTCAGATCTAGGCTCAGACATTTACTAGCTGTGTGCCCCTGGGCAAGTCACTTAATTCTGTTTTCCCCAGTTTCCTCATCTGTTAAATGAACTGGAGAAGGAAATGTCAAACTGCTCCACTATCTTTGCCAAGAAAACCCCAAATGGGGTCACAAAGAGTCAGACCTGATGGAAAACAACAATAACCTCTGACTACAGAGGTAGTGCTCTTTTCATTGTATTGACTACTAAGCTGCCTTGCAATTCTTTCATTCTGTGGTTTTATGAACCAGCGTGGGCAAAGCATTAATTTGGACATGCAATTCAAGGAAAAGCAAGACAATAAGGCCTAAATTTGTCCTTCTGCTCACACCCACTTCCTCATTCATCTAACAATACCCCCTCACCCCCGATCAAATTGTGATGTGGATTAGTCTTCACAGAAAACAGAACTCTTATGTCCTTTCAACAAGTCAGAAAAATAATAATGCCTAATTTTAAAAGATAAAATTTTTCTCTTTTAAAAAACCCTGGTTGCTAGAACCTATGCCTTATGATTCAGGCTGATTTGTAAATCATAATGATCAAAATGTTCTAATGATTTCATATTTTGAAAAGGTAAAA